TTCTTCAAAGAAGAAATATAAATAGACAAAGTACAAGGGAAGATGCCCTACATCATTAGTCATTGGGGAAATGCAAATTAAAACCACAATAATTCCACGTCACACCCACCATGAGGCCATTATAAAAAAGAGCAGCAAGTTTTTAGAGGAGATATAGAAATTGGAATCCATATATATATATTGGATATGATAATATATAATGGTGTCATCTCTGTAGAAAACAGTTGATACGTGATCCAGTAATAATATTACACAGCAGCACTAACCACAAAAGTTTAAAGGTAGGAACACCCCAAATATTCATGAACTCATGAATGGATATACCCATAAAGTAGAGTATTACTCATCCATAGAAGGAAATGAGACAAACATTGTGGGTGAATCTCAAAAATATGATAAGTAAAAGAAGTTGGGCATAAGGGCTGAGGTTATGGCTTGTGAGGACCTGAATCTGGAGTTCTAAAACCCAGGTAAAGCCAGATGCTGTAGCATCTCAACATTCCTACAGCAAGGTGGGAAGTGGAGACAGGAAGCTGCCCAGATGAAATACCCTATTCTCAAGCAAGATTAAAGGTAAAGACTGAAATCTTAGGTTGTCCTCTGACTTTCCTATGTGAGACATCCACACAAACACATGTTCACACACAAAGATACACACAGAGAGAAAGACAGAGACAGAGACAAAGAGACAGAAAGACAAAATGACAAGCAGAAAGAAAAAGAAAGAAGGGCTCATGCAAAGATTTACAGGAAAAAGTCAGAGCTAAGAGGTGTAGGGTTAATATTATGATTAGAGACTAAGCAAAGCTATTGAAACAGGGCCACTGGTTTTTAGAGGGAGGAGAATGGGGAGTGAACACTTAATGAGTAAGTACAGTGTTTTCTTTCAAGATGATGAAAACACTTTGGAATTAGATACTAGCCCAAATACAGTAAAGTTACTTAATGCCAAAGACTTATGTATACTTTAAAAATGGTTTAAAGCCAGGTTTAGTGGCTCAAGCCTGTAATCCCAGAAGTTTGGGAGACTGAGGTAGGAGAATCACAAATTCAAGGTCTGCCTGGGCTACAAAGTGAGTTCAAGAACAACCTGAGCAATTTACTGAGACCTACTATCAAAAAGAAAAGAGGGCTGAGGATGTTTGTCAGTGGCAGAGTGCTTTCTGGTCATGTGCAGGGCTGATGGGTTCAACCTCAAGTACCACAAAAATAAAATGAAAGTATTAAAATGATACATTTGTTACTGAGCTTTATCACAATCTAAAAGATCCCATGCTAAAGTATGGCAAAGATATATTTCATTTCTACTAAGACTTTTTAAAGGAGCCTGAGTGGGGCTTAAGCAGGAGGCAGGAGACCTTGGGTTAAGTCCCAAACACAACTTCTTTTTAAAATGTAAGGAAGGGCATTAAGAAGGGAACAGTTTATATGGAAGAAAGGGAAGGAAAAAGAAAAGGAAAAAGTTTTAGAAGAAATATATAGTCCTAAAAGAACATTAAAGGCTCATTTCTACAATAGGTCTCTCTCAACAACTTCAACATTTTCCAAACCAAACATCTCATGATAGTTACAGAACAACTATAAATACAGTACTCATATATAAAACCCCAAAATAAAAATTAAATTAAAAATGGCATCAACTCTAATTTCAAAATAAATGTCTTTACATGTCCTTTACAGCCATCAAAGTTAGTCATTGCCTAACAATGTAACAAATTTTATATCTCAAATAAAAAAGAGCAAGACACTCCTGTAAATGCCAAGAGACCTAAGGATGTCTACAAATAGAGCTGAGTACTTAATACAAAAATAAGAGACAGAATCTTTTTCTTACACACAATTCATCCTCATAGAAAAACATGTACACAAAAATTTAAGCTCTACCTTTTTTTTGAGATAGGGTTTCTCTGTGTAGCCCTGGCTGTCCTAGAACTCACTCTGTAAACCAGACTGCATCCTGAGTGCTGGGATTAAAGGCCACCACACTCAGACCCACTAATTACTTTTAATTCAGTTACCTAACAACTAGGAATGTATTACTACTAGAATATTTCTATATTTCTATTATGTTTCTTGACAGTCTTTGGCCATATTAATTACTGTCTCAGCAATGGACAACTTAGTGAAAACAGAAACACCTCTGCTTTATGAATAAAAACTTAAGCCAATATACAAACATTTAATGCCTGAAACACTAGAAAATAATCATGGTAGTGAATGTAGACTTGTGATGGGAACATTATCACTGATCCAGAGTCAGAAGTGCAGGTTCCACTACTTACTAGACCAAGTATTTGTTTTGTTTTTATTAGTTTGTTTGCTTTGTCAGTTTTACCCCTAGATGTCAACCAGGCTATCCTGGTTTTGCCTGCTTTTGCCTTCCAAGTGCTGGGATTAAAGGTCTTGTACCACCACACCAGACTTATCTTTGACCTTTATACTATCTTTAAAATATGAGGAAGACTCAGAAGGATAGTGTAAAAGTATGTGTAAAGTATGCAGACAATTTAAAGAGGGGCATGGTGGAAAATGCAGCAAAAAGAAGGAGGGGCAGAAATGGCTCCCAGGAAATAAACCTAGTACTACTCTTCAGCCTCAATCTCAGCACATGATTCCCGCCTTTTCTCATCCCACTCCTCAAATACACTTCTATAATTATATGCCCTTCCATTCCAGGAATATCTAGCTAAAAACTAGGGAGACAACATTTCCTGAAAGAGTTGAACATTTCTAAGCTCCCACCGTACCTTTATATTTCTGCTCTATTTTAATGCTTGCCTGAGATTATACATATTGGTATGTATGCATATATACCACCCTCCATATTTATATATACATACACAAAGTATGTATATATACTCAATCTCAAGCTAAACACAATATTAACCTTTGTATCAAAACTGTAAGTAGTCAAAGAAAGGATTGTAGTCTTTTCAATTTCAAAACATAATGCAAAAAATGTTCTTAAATTTACAACATTCCCAAAAACTCGATATATGTCAGCAAGACTTGTAAAAATAATCATGAAGTTAAAAATCCATAATCATTAATCTTGACCCAGAACAGAATGAAAACATCACAAGACCTCCTTACCAGAAGCTAAGTAACATATTCAGAGAACAAAATGTCCAAGTAATCTATTGTAATTTAAAGTTACACCAGCTGCAGAAGCAGCTCCATGGTAAAGCGATTGCCTAGCATGTTCAAGGCCCTCTGTTAGATCTTCATCAAACAAAGATACAAAGCTATTAAAACCAAGTGCCAGTTTTCAAAGAAAATAAACTCCAGAATAACCGAAAACATCAGGTATCGTTATCAAACACTCAAAATCAGATATTGTACATTTTAGCTAATGTTTAATACAAGGTACCTTTCCCTCAGGCTGTCCAGTTTAAATAAATCTTAAATTCAACAATCCAAAGAGTTACAGACTGTCTAAAATCAACTCCAGCTCTGTGTCATACACTAAGGTCTGTTGAAAAGTTCTCTTTCTATTAAAACTTAGGACGCAGAGGCAGGCAGATTTCTCTGGGTTCCAGGCCAACCTGGTTACACAGCAAATTTCAGGTCAGCTAGGGCTGCATAGTGAGACTACATCTCAAAAACAAACCACTACTCATGAAAAACGGATAACAAATCTTCCAAATTTTTGGATGCAATCACTACTACACCGATTTTCACAACTCAAGACTATTGACTTTGATTCAATACAACTGTCTCAGCAATAACCCTTAAAGAATCACACCTAAAAGCGGAGGCAAGAAGATGGAAGGCAATTCAAGACCTACGTTGGCTACTTAATGAATTTCGGGCCAGCCTTGGTTACTGGATGAAACCCTGTAACTTTTTTTCAAGGGAAAAAAATACAGGGAGAAGAGCAAGAACCACAAAACTTGCATTTCAGTTTAACAGTGTATCAACTGGCAAGATATAGACACACTCCGGGGGTTTCCACCCACATCCCACTTTCTAAATGTTTCACAGCTCTTAACTAAACAAAACCTCTTTCAGTACAAGGAAACCACCTCAAGACTTTTATTCTAACCCTATCATACTATCTCCTCCCCATTCCCAGGAAGTCAGTCTCAGAACACACACCACACCTCTCAATTCCCTTGCACCTAACACAATTTACACAATCAGTTTGCTATATCCCTCACCCAGTTTTCAGTCCTATCGACCCTTCTACAGCAAACGAACCTCTATATTAAGCATACTGTGTCCCCCACTCCATTTCCATCAATATAATACGGCCCAACCTTGTTGAACATTCCACACCCAAAAGGATTCTTTCAGTAGCATCAATCTCACTTAAATGATCTCTCAGCCCCTTTGTCAACCATCTCCTGTATTCTCACCTTCCCTGTCTCTGGGTCTTTCATCAACTGCTAAAGTTGCCACCCTCCCCAACCGAAACAAACAAAACAAAACAAAACAAACAAACAAAAAAACCCCAAACAACAACAACAACAAAAAACGCACCTTAACCTCAGATCTGTCCTTCCCCACTTCCCCCCCCCCCCGTCTTAATTTTCCTCTCTGTATTCGGTCACTTAGACTCCAGCTCTTACCCAAGACCTGAGTGCGGCCTCGTCCGGTACCTTTGGGTGGCTTCACGCACCCTGCCGTGGTCAAGCAGCTCCCCCTCAAAACACACACACACACACACACACACACACACACACTCTCTCTCTCTCTCTCTCACACACACACACACACACACACACACACACACACACACTGGGCGCTTACTCTGAAAAGACTGTTGGCCGCCGCTGCCTCCTTCCATTCATCCTGGGCCCATTCATCTCTCAGCCCGATCCTGGACACGCCCCCCGGCCTCCTCCCTCTCTCAGGGTCCTGGGCTGGCCGGGACCCTCACCTCACTAGAGACTCTGACCGACAGAGACCGACTCTCTTCACTTCTCCCTCGCTGTCTCTCAAGCCTCCTCCAGTCCACCGGACCCGCTACACCGTAGACTAGACACACATACATATACCTCCTCCTCTAACGCCTCCTCCGATGCTTCTTACTCCCCTCCTCAGAGTCTGGAGCTCATCTCCCAGTGCTGTGCGCGTGCGCGCGTCTGCCCGAGAGCCCACCGTGCCTGAAACCGCGGTTAGGGAAAGAGCGGGCGGGGTAAGGGGGAACAGGGTGCGAGCCCAAGCTCGCGCTCGCCCCTCAGCTGACCGGGAGCACGCGTACTGAAACCAGAGAATTCTGCTGGACTGGAGAGGGGCGGGGAAGAAGGGGTAGGGAGGGGGAGAGGGGGAGGGGCGGAGAAAGCCAACTGAGCAGCCCAAACTCGGAATGGCCCCTATCATAGCAAGGTGCCCACAGACTGGCCAGCTGGCGCTTGTGCACACCTTCCCCGAACTCAGTGCAGTGAGGTAGATGCGCTTCGAGGAGAGAGGCTTCTCTCCCTAGCAAAGAGAAAAATCTCAGCCAGGAGCCAAGCGAGGCACCTCCTGCGTGTCCTGAAGCACTCGTCCTCACGGCTGCTTTACCCTCTTCCATCCAATAAATAAATAAATAAATAGATAGATAGATAAATAAATAATTAAATAAGTAAATAAATAAATAAATAAATAAATAAATGAATAGAAAGAGGTACAAGCGCACACCAACCACTTCCTAGCCACCCGCAGACCACTTTCAGCTCTTTGTAAACCTTAAAATGAACCAGCTCTGTAGAGACGTGGTACCCACCAGTACCTTTCCACCAGCCACCCCTTACTCACTTTTTCTAGCTCCCGGTTTATCTCGCGAGACCCATACCTGCCGGCTTTGGGATTAGAAGTCGAAGCACAGATTTGCAAATACCTGCCTCCTGGTAATGTTGCAAGGGCAACGGTCATGGCATATACCACGGCCGCCCCCCCCCCGCCCCCAGGACCAAAGTGCTCGTGGGGGAGGGGGGGCAACAACCAAAGCACGGCTGGGAAAGGGAGCTAACCGATTTTTGACGGCGTGTAAGCGCTAGGCCTAGGCACGTGGCCAGTGCCTCACTAGCGGGTGCGCTGTACCCTGGGAAGTGTAGTTCTTGTTCCCACCTCTAGTCCCACTCCTCTCCTCAGCCACACACAGGCCTCAGACTGGGAGGGGGATTATCGGCGCCATTTTGTGGGGAACAATGGCCAATGGCCCCGGTGATGAAGGGTGGGTGACGGTGCAATGGTTTAAGGGTTCACTTAACTGCTTCTGGCCCCTCTGTATCTTAGCAACCCCTTCAGCAGCCTGGCCCAGCCCCCTTGCTGCTCTGGCGGGCTTCTGGATGGCTAGCAAGGGAAAGAGCCACTTTCTCACAGAGGCTAGTCCTATCTCCGATTACCCACCTCCCTGAAAAAAACAAAACAAAACAAAACGAAAGTTTCAATATGGCCAGAGCTACATAGTGAGATTACGTCTCAAATAAGGACAAAAACAAAAAGAGCAAAATAAAGACGGGAAAGTGAGTCTATGCCGTCACTTCCTGTTACCTCCACGAGAAGCAAAAATGAGGTAGAGAGAAAGAACTGTCTTTTGGATTGTCTCTGGAAAAAAAAAAAACCCTCCCAATTTCTCAAATTAGTGACTGCTGCCTTCTTTGAGCTTTCATTGCATGTTACTCTCAGCTCAATGTCTTCAAGAACTGCTTCATATGCTGGATGAGGCATGGTGAATAACTATTCCTTTAACCCGTAATGATCCTGCCTTAACAAAGGAGGAAACTGAGGCTCAAGGAGGAGAAAACAGACATAGCTTGCTGAAGGGTAGCCAAACGAACAGCAGTCAACAGTTTCAAAGATTAGCAAGTTATTCCAAGTCTTAATAGGTCCTTAATCTTATGAGATAATAAATAGAAAACTGTGGCCACCTTTTTACTAATGTTGACTCTTCCTCCTGTTGCCCTCTCTGAGCTTGATGATACAATCAACACAGAACAATACTTAGGACTGTTAGCCCTTCAAGCTACTCTGATGCAAAGTCTTCCAAGTAGTTTTTCTTCGACTACCAAACACTTACTCAGTAATTATTAAGCAGTGTGGCACACAAACACACACAGCTTTAGAAATTCGAAGATCAGATGAATCTGTTCCCAGCCAAGTACAGATCCTTCTCAATGGAGAAATATTTTTTAATTTCTGATATTTTTTATTCAATTACATATTTACAAGATTTTTTTTCTGCGTATGAGTGTGTTATTTGCATTGCATGCATGTGCACCACATGTGTGCCTGGTACCCACAGAAGTTAGAAGAAGGTATTGAATTACCTGAAATTGGAGTTACAAGTAGTTGTAAGGTGCCATATGGGTACTGGGAACCAAACCCAGATCCTCTGAAAGACCAGCAGGTGCTCTTAACTGCTGATCCATCTCTCCAGCCACTTGTAGACTTACTATCGATATATCTGTTGCCCAGAGCTGAGCACAAATGCCATTGTAGGCAGAAACGATAGTAAGCAGTTACAGCTAATCACCACTATATATTAGAAAACATTCTCTTCTTATCTACTGGTTTCCGCTGTCAAGTGGCAATTCCCATTCATCTACCAGAAATTTTGAATCGTTATTAACCACTTCTAATTTGACTTTCTATTATCCCATAAAAACATCCAACAACCCAGTTATGTTTGGAAGCACTGGAAGCACTACTGCCAAGAAACCACAAAGTTTTCACTGGAATAATTTTTGGTGAGTTTTTTTTTTATTTTTTTGAGGTTGGAGAAGTGTTTTTAAACAAGGTCTTGTGTAGCTCAGGCTGACCTTGAGCTCACTAAGTAGCCATGAATGACCTTAAATTCCCGATCCCAGGGCTGGGATTACAAAATGTGCCACCACACCCAGTTGGAATCAGTTTTAGATGTCAGTGTCCCAAGCCATATCCTTATATTGTTTTCCTGCCTGGCCACCTTCTCCCTTGAGATATAACAAAATAGACTATGGGAGAGGCAGAGAAAAATATAAGGAATAAAAAAACTGTATCCCAAAATAATATTAACTACATATACTTTCTATTAAATGTAAGCACATTTCATGTAAAGAACATGTAATGTATTTCTTATCCAGTCACTCACTACATAAGACAGTAACTCTAAGGGCATTGATTTCTGAATGACATTTATTCTAAGCAGGCCTTAAAATTAAAAAGATTCTCACTAAGATCATCTAGGAACTATTAATGTCGACCTTTCTCCCCCACAAATAAGCAGCTCCCTATGGCTTAGCAACTTACTTAGAAACATGCAACAGTGCAGTTTCTCTCATCTTGCTCTATTGTCTGGTCTTCTCTTCAAAGGTACAGTGTCCACGGCATATATGTGGTGGGCACATTGCTTTGACACCTGACTCCTGGAAAATACTAATATAAATAAGTCCACATCACTTCTCTCTAACTGTGAAGTGTCACAAAGCTAAATTTCTCTGCAAAGTATCCACAGAGCAGAGCTCCAAAGCCTGAATAATGGTTGCTGAAACACTGCCCGTGCTCTTCAAAAGATCAGGCCCTGGAGTCCATTTCCATCCACAGAACCACATAAGCAAGGCATTCTCAGGAAAAATCTTTCGAGCAGCAGTTGTAAATCATATTCTACCCACTCAGATGTATAATAATAATAGCTACCAGTTAAATAGCATTTCCTGTGTGCTTTATATGAATCCACTGATTCATAAGCATCGTTCTTAACATCATGTTTCACATTTGCAAACCAAGGCACAAAGAGGTGAAATACCTCTCTGCAAGATAACTCAGCAAATAAGTAACAGAGTTAGACATTTTGTCGCTTTTGAAGGGAGGGATAGGAGAGACAGAACCTCATGTAATCCAGGCTGGTCACTACATGGTTTAGGATAACCGTGAACTCCTAATTCCTTTGATTCCACCTCCTAAATGGTATTATAAACATGGGCCATGACACCAACTCTCTTGCATCTGCTTTTACTGTCTAGCATTCCCAATCACTTTGGGCTCTAACAAGCTTTCCTAACCCTTGGGGAAAGAAAATAACCTTTTAATTCCTCTTAATGTTCCTCCATCCCAGGCTCCAGCCAATTGCTGGGCTACTATATGCTATTGACACCTAGGAGCAAAAGTATTAATTTCTTGGTATCAAGCCATACACATTAGCACTCAGCAATCTGTTATGTCCACATTGTTCCTGTATGCTGTCAGACCTGTGTTACATTAGTGCTTGCCATTGTTGTGGTAACTTTTTTAAAAGATTGCCTACAATAGCTCTTGTTCACTCAGGCTTTGCTTTCTACCCTGAGATTGTGCCAGAAGTCAGGATACAGAGCACCCAAGAATATCCCTATAAGTATTTCATTATCCCCAATCTTAAAGGACAAGAAGGGCCAAAACATTCTGGATATATATATACAAAGTAAATTGATTCACTATAGTTAAGAAATATTTGCATTCCCACGTTTATTATGGCACTATTCACCATAGCCAAAATATGAAATCCATCTGTGTCCTTCAGTGAATGAGTATTTATTTGTGTTGCCTAGTTATTAGTATAATATCAACTAAACAAGCTAGGGTCAACTGGGAAGAAAGAAGTTCAATTGAGAAAATAGCTCCATGTGATCGAACTGTAGGCAATGTTTTCTTGATTGATGATTGGTGTGGTAAGACCTAGCTCACTGTGGGCCAAGACATCTCTGGGCTGGTCCTAGTTGCATAAGCAAGCAGGCTAAGTCATCCACAGAGAGCAAGCCAGTAAGCAGCACTCCTCTGCTTATTTCCTGCCTCCTTGTTCCTTTGTTGAGTTCTTCCCCTGACTTCTCTCAGGAATAGAAAATGACCTGAGAGATGTAAGACTTTCCTCCCTAAGATACTTTTGGTCATGATGCTTTATCACAGCAATAGAAACCCAAAATAAGCTGGGCATGGTGGCATATACCTTTAATCCCAGTACTCAGGGGACAGAGGTGAGTTCAGGGCCAGCCTGGTCAGCTACAGAAAGCTAATGCTACACAGAGAAACCTTGTCTCAGAAAAAAAAAAAGAAACCCTAAATAAGACAGTGAAATCAATGTAGTGCATAAATACAATGAATATTATCAAGCCATACAAAGAAAAAAAATCAAAGGATGAGGTTGTAGCTTAGTGGTATAGTGTTTCATGTTTAAAGCTAGGAGTTTGCTACCCAACACCACTGCAAAAATAAAGTAAATGAAATAAAAATTAAGGCAATCCCAGAACTGAGGATGTAGCTGAGGGTTAAA